TAACTCAAAGCACCTCAGAAAAGTTAAGTGGGCACGGCAGCGGTGCTTTAAACTCTCCGCACCAGAATGCTGTGCTGGAACCTAGTTCAAGTCTGGCAATACTTAATAAACAGTGCGATGCTCACCAAATGGTAGTCTGGTAAGAATGAACCGTTGACTTGCCAAATCTCTGCACTCCACTTGAAAATGCGTGCCTGCTGGTGAGCCCGAGGTATAAGAGCGATATCTCCCGGTGTTCCCAACATGTGATGTATCGACACATAAATCACCAGGCTGGCATGCAAAGGTGTGATGTGGCTTCCGACAGCATACTACCCCATCATATGTGTGGGCTCATCTGGACTCTTGGAAAAAGACAGTCGCTAATCCTATTCAGTGGAAAGAACCACACTCATAAAACGGATAAATAGCAGAATTAGAACAGCAGGAAGCAAAATAACCTTGAGGCGTATATCAAATGACCGATAAGTATCATCAATATCTTGGTTTCTTATTTTGTTTCGTTCACGTTTTGTTTCACGTTCTTGCGTCAACCTGTTGCTCACCACTGTGCAACTACAAGGTGATTCCACTCCAACAGAAGGAGAACATTCCAAAATCATAAAAAGGGGTCCCATTGATACATACTGCTTGCGAGAAATGGGACGTTTATGGAAGTTAGTATGTTCGTGCAACTGGACTGGTTAACTATTTGCTTACTGTTTAGCCAGCTGACGCGACCCACTTCAATTTTGTTCTTGATCTTTACTGATCCATTCTTGTCACTTTGGAATTCAATCCAAGCAATGCTAGTTGCACTGATTTTTAAGGGATTTGGCTCGCTACTTTCCTAATATGAGCTACGGATCTGTGAAAAATCATGTAACCAACGTGTACTTTTATAGCTCACACATTATTATTCCCCCATTACTGCATTTTTAACATGTGAACTATTGTTGACTGACTATTTAAGTAGCAGGTTCCTACAAAACTAGATATGTGATCTTGGGGAATTCCGCATAGTTTGCAATATATCAACGGGTTTTCCTTAAAATAAGATTTGCATTACTGATATTTTCCAACATGCAGAAAATATTTTTCCGGAGCTACCGTGTCGTTCAGCGTTGATAGTCTTAACCTGAGAGCACATAATGCACAGTTTGAAATTCGAAACTTTTCAGCTAGCTATGCACTACCGCGTAACTTCCAACACAATCAGAAAACTGCTGTAAAGCTTTCTTTGGTTTCGAGATCATAGTTTTATGGTCCATATTTTCACCGAGCCCCTCTTACACTTCCCCACATAGTACTGAAAAGATGCAGGCCACGATTGCACCGGTATTTCTTCCCAAATGATAAAGTTTAATCTGTGTATTTTCGTGGAATCAAGGGACTCTACAGACTGAAAAGTATTGTGGCAATGGAGCTTTTGCTTAGACTTTTGATTAGAACATGGTTAGACGCTTTGCCTAAATTATCGTCCGGCATTGTTTATCGAGGCATTGTCATTTTTCATTTTGTTTTCACACCTGTTCCTCATTTACAACACACAAACCCCATGCATATGCTCATGAATCCAGCTTACGATCTCGTCCAAAAAGTGGACCAAATGTGGTTTATCCCGCTAATATTGTTGTTATCGTCGGATTGATCGATATCACTCGGAGATGAGCTTATCTGAAAGCAACTTTAAAAGTGAGGATCTTTAGTGATGGTGCTCAATCATTCGTAGTTATGTGGCAAACAACGGAGGCTCCAATTCTCTTGCCCCTTGGGAACTACCTCTTGTCACTGATGAAAATTTAGTCATTTGTAAGCAATGAGTATGGGAACCCCTGGAGGCTTACGTCATAAAATTGCCAAACATCTGAGGGTTCCGAGTGTACCTAACGGACTCCTTTGCTTATACTGTCACTTCTAGATAAATTTCTGCCCCTATTCACGATACTCCCAAGTAAACGAAACCAAAATGAATGGGTTCTGATGCGCTTGATATATTAAAAAATTTTCCAATAAGAATTTTTAGTAGGCGCATTTTTTATGGTAATCGGCAGTTCAAGTTCTGTGTTTTTGTAGGGCCTGATAACCAGTATCAGACACTTCGAGCTTCTGTTAAATGTGCTTTACTACTCTTGGCCTTAACCTGATTATTACAGGATAATTCCTCGTTTGGCCCTGAGGCTTAAACTTTGATTGTGAGCAAGAAAACGTTATGTGATATCCCGGAGAAAAAATCACTGCATAATTCCTACTATGATGACATCTTCCAGGGCCATAAGATTTGTCAGTGGCAGATTAAAAAAGCCGCCCTCCTTTTTAAGGCATTTCGAGAACATTCCCCGAGTTTTATAATATCTGCCTGCTCTGACTGAATGCAAATTGGGTTTGTTAGCTGGTTTATAAGTATGGTCGTTTTTGTTAACACTTGACGGGTGTGCCGTTTCACGTTTGTTCGTCTTCTGTTGCATATTGGATGTTCTAAACTGTTGGTTACGTGAATGAGTGGCTTAAAATTACTGAAAGATTTTGGTGAACACCGGAATTAGTGTTTTGACAACTGAAATAAGCTTACATCTCTTGTCTGCCAGAGGCTTTTAAGATACCTCGCTTGCAGTTGCTGTCCCGTTTTGTGAAGCGATCGCCTGAATTCCTACCCCTCAATTCCATCCTGTAGAATTAGACCCCCCTGATGATCATGATTATCCCGACCATTTCTTCGTTGTCACATAATTTTTTTCCATGCCGAAGAAAATGCAATAATGATTAAACTTTTTTCAAGAAGTATTCAGCAGAATTGAGATTGAGGTTTTTAGTTCGCTATAATTTTTGATTCCTATGAATACAATAGTTGCTGGCATGCAGCAACCCTCTCCACTTTTACTCACTGGTCTCATTCCGTTGGTCCTACATCGGCTCAAGTTCTTGCGTTCAGCGCTTTGTTCAGTTCAACTGCCTTGCACAGGCCTCTACCTATCTGACCACTGCTGGCCGACAACCGCGATTAGCGTGCGAGGCCACTGGCAGGTGCACCTGATAAACTGAGTCTTAGTGATCTGATATAAGTTTTGGCCTAATGCTGACGCCTATATTGTTTGAGACACCCTCGTTCGAGTTTCTGTTTCATGCGAGCTAGCCGAAAAGCACTGAATCGCAGCAATGGTGGGTGACGGTCTTCTGGGAAGTTCATAAAGTTTGATGAGGTAAGTTTTGGAAAATACTAGGGCCAACAGGTTTACACAAGCCAAGCGTTTTTGTCTTCAGACTGAAAGTCACTATTTGCGGTATGCAAGTCGGAGATTCTTATACCTATTTCTACAGAGTGCAATGCCTCGTTTACATGTTCAGAAACATGTGTGTAGCAAATATATCCGCGCTTCACTCGACAACATTTCAGTTTGGTCTAGGAACAACTGCTTCTTAGACAGCTGTCATTTATCAAATTCCTTTGAACTTCACAACACAACCTGCATTAGAAGTGATTACGACATGGGGTGTTGTGCACAACATTTCAGTTTGGTCTAGGAACAACTGCTTCTTAGACAGCTGTCATTTATCAAATTCCTTTGAACTTCACAACACAACCTGCATTAGAAGTGATTACGACATGGGGTGTTGTGCAGGTTTCCGCTCCTTGTCAGTATCCTCTCTGCGTATCTGCCAATCACCTCTATGCAAAAGTGCTCGGACTTCGTACTTTCTCTCAAAAACTGCATGGCGGCAAAACATGGAAATCCTGTAGGAGATATATAAAAGGTTTAGCATAAATCACATTACGCGTCTATTCAACATCTGACATTTCCCAGTGACTGGAATCCTCAACCCAGCCTGTACTAATAGCGCCCATTAAGCCCTAATGAGAAATGACGTATCTTTGGTAAAGGACGGGGAGAGGATGATCCAGACCGTGAAAAAAAATTTTCCACTCTGACAAAATAAATGGAATTTAAACTCCAAAGAGTTTGAAATTGGGCAACCGCGTTTGCTTTAACTCAGAAAGAAAAGCGATAGTCTGGATTTACATTCTTGAAATAGTGCAACACAAGAAAAAGCGACCTGTACAGACTTGACATGCTTTGAAATAAAGCAAATTTTTCTGCCTGGAAGAAAACTTATGATCCCAAAGCGTCATATTTTTTGGATATGGCCAACCAACAGATTACTATGCAGCTTATGAGGCCCGGCCAACTAGAGTCAAACCGCCACTTGGGTGGGCTTGTCCAGCTCTACTGTTTTGCTGAGAGATGAGACCACCTGCAGCAATTAGGTTAATGTGTTTCTACTTGATTGCACATTCACAGAAATCACCATTCATCGGAGAAAACTTTTGTACTCACGTAATGTTCAACAAAACGTCGCGTTCGGTCAGCTGACCGCATTCAGTAGGACTCGGTATCTTTGACTACCGACTGTACATCAGCTTCAGCTCCCTTCAGATCACCTCTCAGATTTCATTCTATTGAGGGCAATGTATTCTTAAATTGTTACACACAACAAAGTTGAGATAGGGTTGTAAATGTCAACGTATAGAAGAAATTTATTCCTTTTAAGCAATCCTAGAACCGTCTTTTTAGACTACTCATGGTAAGGATAAAATGCCTGGTTTTCTGAGATTTTAGCTTCCGAGCTGAAAATCCCAACGAATTTTGAATCGCGTATTCTGTAGAAAATGCACTATGTAAAAACCTTAGCTTAATTAGAGAATTACCTGTATAAATATTTAGCCCGATTTTTTTGAGCTAACGGTTTCGTGCGCACACGGCTACAAAAAGTAACTTTCTGTGCAAAACAGCATTACAAATGCTCCCCTGCGAGTGCGAAGTACACTTACCAAACTTCGTTTTCATCTGCCTTAGGGCGTGGTCGAACGTTGCGACGCTGCATTCATCCTTGATCTGTCTATCTTTTGCTCCGCGTGTCACCATGGTGACTATCCCTGCGTGAAGAGACCGCATAATGATGTGCCAAATTCCCCATCGATACTCCCAGACAGTCGAAATCATTCACTGTTTTGCTCTTTCTAGGTGCATGCGAACGACGCAGATAGTGAAACACACGCCAAACCCCAATACCATTTACTCCGGAACGCATTATTCACATCGCCGTTTGACGTGGAGCCCGAAACTGGATGGATTATCACCTCTGCTGATATTGACCGAGAAACACAAGCCTTATACCAGGTAAATATACGTGTCTTCGTTTCATACAGACGAAACATGTGGTTGTTTTATTGTATTGTCTGAATACCGGCAACATTAGCACAATTTCCAACAAGTGGGAGGCTTTGAAAAATTGATATTTGTGGTCTATAAACGCTATTTGCAAACAGACGAAGAGTAACTTACTACTGGCACTTTGATCAACACGATGTAATATTAACTATTAGAGTGATCTAGTGCTTTCGTCTTCACTCGGCTTAGGACAAGGTTGTTCGATTTTATCGCAACCGAAAGCGAACTGTAGGAGACCGTTTTGATGTAATGAATAATATATTTATGTTATATATATATATATATATTAACTATTAGATCTAGTGCTTTCGTCTTCACTCGGCTTAGGACAAGGTTGTTCGATTTTATCGCAACCGAAAGCGAACTGTAGGAGACCGACCGGATGTAATGAATAATATATTTATGTTATATATATATATCGGGGATATTGGTGATCCCATTGCTAAACCTTGTTCTTGAGAGTATATAATTGAGTCGAAATCAAACTGACTGAGGTTTAGGCATACCTTTATGCCTTCAACTATCTCGTCTGCGAAGAGTTGCGTTAGTTCTTGCAGCGTTGTTTCTGCCATTAAAAGTCTTCTCGCTACTTCCACAGTGTACGCTTTAGAGACATTGGTGTCGAGTTGACATTAAAGCTAACCAGGACTTCGTCTAACTCTAACTGAAAACCAGCTACTTTTTTAGCGGTCATACGAACCTTGGATGTGTGTGGGTGACTTGCCGGCAAGTGATTCAAGAATACTTGCTAGGATTCGATACCTACTAGCAATGTAATGACTGTACGAAGGTTTATTTGCACACCAGAATCGGTGAGCATAAGCGTTCCATTAAGTGACCACCGAGAAACGCAGATGAATCCTAGGCGACAGTCATAGAGTCGGCAATGGCATGGCATGCACTAGACACTGGGTACAGGAGTTAGAAAATGTGAACATCCTGAGACGGGGTATAATATTCACACCACTACGACTGGTGGCCGAGGCGGTGGAAGTCGCCAAGTATCCCAGCGTGAATAGAATAGAAGGGGGTAGAACTTGCAAGTGTGTGGAAAGCAGTCTTAGGTCAGCCGAGCTGACACAAGGTGGTGTGCAGTTATCAGTGAAATGATCTGGGTCTAAATGTACAAAATCCAAGCAGTGTTAAATCCAATTAACCACCCCACACCCATCCCCGAACCAACTGTCCCGGCACCCATTGACGAACATAGCTGAACGAAATCTGTGGACGAACCCAAGAGGAATTTTTCATTAAGATGTCCTAGACTGAAAAAGTGAAAGGCCGAGGAATCCGGGTTAATCATGAAGACAAATCTCCTAACCAATCTATCGTAAATGTTAGTCATCCCCATTAACCAAAAAACAGGAACATCAGACTCACCACCCAGCTCTGATCAAGTAGGCTAGTCATGAGAAATCTCACGGATTGGTTCCCTGACTGCCTTAAAACCCAACCAACCTACTTACTTACTCAATTAGCCTGACGAAGCTTTTGTGTCATAAGCGGAACGTTGCCCAGCAGTTAATCCACCGATTGTTCACCAAACCTCTCTGAAAGTGCTGCACCTTGTTTTCGTCTGGAGGCTTCATCTAAATTTTGACAATACATGCCTGGCATGCCATAGTATGTGGTGAAATATATCTATCTTCTTTGATTCGCATGGGGCTAAATAATTTAGAAAAAAATTGATACGAGAACAGACCCTTAAACTCAGCAGACAACAGTAACACAAATATTAAGTTCGCGAAGTGCAGGACAATTTTAAAGCTCTCCGGGTTAAAAGGAAAGATATGTGGGTGCTAAATCTAGTAACGTAACCCCAGTAACTGACATCATTTTGTTTGTGAAAGTTTACCCGCAGGTTATTATTCAAGGCAAACTAGAACTGAAGTGGCCAAACAGAGCTTCATCGATTCAAATGTTATGTGCAACTAAGTGTGCAAGTTAGTATAACTATCTTGATACGATTTCACGCTATTTATGGTATCGAGACTAAGGTACAGCCGTTGAGNATAATATATTTATGTTATATATATATATATATATATATATATCGGGGATATTGGTGATCCCATTGCTAAACCTTGTTCTTGAGAGTATATAATTGAGTCGAAATCAAACTGACTGAGGTTTAGGCATACCTTTATGCCTTCAACTATCTCGTCTGCGAAGAGTTGCGTTAGTTCTTGCAGCGTTGTTTCTGCCATTAAAAGTCTTCTCGCTACTTCCACAGTGTACGCTTTAGAGACATTGGTGTCGAGTTGACATTAAAGCTAACCAGGACTTCGTCTAACTCTAACTGAAAACCAGCTACTTTTTTAGCGGTCATACGAACCTTGGATGTGTGTGGGTGACTTGCCGGCAAGTGATTCAAGAATACTTGCTAGGATTCGATACCTACTAGCAATGTAATGACTGTACGAAGGTTTATTTGCACACCAGAATCGGTGAGCATAAGCGTTCCATTAAGTGACCACCGAGAAACGCAGATGAATCCTAGGCGACAGTCATAGAGTCGGCAATGGCATGGCATGCACTAGACACTGGGTACAGGAGTTAGAAAATGTGAACATCCTGAGACGGGGTATAATATTCACACCACTACGACTGGTGGCCGAGGCGGTGGAAGTCGCCAAGTATCCCAGCGTGAATAGAATAGAAGGGGGTAGAACTTGCAAGTGTGTGGAAAGCAGTCTTAGGTCAGCCGAGCTGACACAAGGTGGTGTGCAGTTATCAGTGAAATGATCTGGGTCTAAATGTACAAAATCCAAGCAGTGTTAAATCCAATTAACCACCCCACACCCATCCCCGAACCAACTGTCCCGGCACCCATTGACGAACATAGCTGAACGAAATCTGTGGACGAACCCAAGAGGAATTTTTCATTAAGATGTCCTAGACTGAAAAAGTGAAAGGCCGAAGAATCCGGGTTAATCATGAAGACAAATCTCCTAACCAATCTATCGTAAATGTTAGTTAAAGCTCTCGGGTTAAAAGGAAAGATATGTGGGTGCTAAATCTAGTAACGTAACCCCAGTAACTGACATCATTTTGTTTGTGAAAGTTTTCCCCCAGGTTATTATTCAAGGCAAACTAGAACTGAAGTGGCCAAACAGAGCTTCATCGATTCAAATGTTATGTGCAACTAAGTGTGCAAGTTAGTATAACTATCTTGATACGATTTCACGCTATTTATGGTATCGAGACTAAGGTACAGCCGTTGAG